AACTGCCTTTAATGAAATAGGAGCCCACACAATGAATAGCCTGGGGGCACACTGCCAGGGAGGGGCTGGGGCAGTCTGCCCTCGTGGAACACTGTGGATCTGGGGCCTGGAACACAGTGTTAGGGGCCCATCCAGATTTGATTCTTCCTACTGACCATTTTCTGACTTCTATGTGCCACTCCCAACTCCCATTCCAACTAGGGGGGCATTGGGAGGTAGGGCCTGGCAGCTCCCTGGTTGCCATGTATATCTTCACTATGCTTCATCCACATTTTCAGCCCCGCCCCCACAGGGACACTATGGTCAGGTCTTTGTGTCTGCACAATGGCCGTCTCTGTCCTGAGCAGCCTCCTCCATATCTGCGCCTGTCTCTGTCAATTGCTCAGGCTCCCTCCCCTCCGCCTCTCTGATCTTGGCTTCCCCCAGTGAGTCTCTGTATGACACTGATGAAGTCACTGACTTCTCTGATACAAGGTTTCAAGGTTCAGTGCTTGAGAAAGAGGAGAAAAGTACTGGGGCTGGAGAGCTGGCCCAGTAGTCATGGATGCTTGCTGTTCTTCCTGGGGACCAGGGTTCAGTTCCCAGCATCCACATCAGGAGGCTCACAACCACCTGGAATGCCACCTCTAAAGCATCTGACAGCATCTGATACCTTCTTCTGGCCTCACACACACCTCAGCCAACACACACACCTAAAAATAAGATCTTTTTTAAATACAAAATTCAAGAGGCTCAGCGATGAAAGTCCTTGATACTCTTTCAGAGGGCCCAGGTTTGCTTCCTAGAACCCACACAGAAGCTTAAAACAATCTAACTCAAGTCCCAGAAGCTCTGATGCTGTCATCTGACTTCCATAGATACCAGGCACATACGTGGTCCAAAGACATACATGCAGTCAAAATACCATATACATAAAATAAAATTTTAAGAAGAATAGAATTCTTGCCAAGGCTTTCTCCACCAAAAAGTCGGTGTCTGTGGCTTGGGCTGTGTGTGTGGAGGGAGAGCTAGCTCGGTTCAAACTGTGCTTTCTTTGCAAGAGAGGAGCCGAATTTGATCCTCTGAGCCCATGGGAATGTGCTGGGCATGGTGTCGCATGCTTGTGTTCTCCGTGCTGCTGAGGCAGAGGCATGAAGAGCTGTTGGGCTCACTGGTTGCCTACTGCACTCTTGCCGATGAGCTCCAGGTCAGTGGGAAAGGAGACCCTGAGGACGACGCCTGAGGTCTCTTTAGGTCTCCATGCGGATGCAGACCCGTGCACGTTTCTCCTGTGCAATCCTCATGCTGCTTACTGACCCTCCCACTCATGTCTCTTCCTCTTCCCTGCCTTGGCTGGCCAGATGAAGAAAGCAAGCCTGAGAGCAGGCTGTCTTCCTGGTTGCAAGAGCTGTGTATCATTAGTGCTTGTTTGTTTGGAGACAGGGTCTCTATTGTGTAGCTCTGGCTGTCCTAGAACTAACTCTAGCCTTGAACTCACAGAGATCCACCTGCCTCTGCCTCCTGAGTACTGGGATCAAAGGTGTGCCCACATCCTGCCTAGTACTTGATTTAATGCTTCTGATACCATCTTAAAATTCCTAATGATTTTTTAAGCAGGGGTCCACATTTTCACTTTATACAGAGTCTTGCAAATTTGGTAGCTGATCTGGCTTTAGGGGAGGTGGAAGGGACCTTTGCCAAGGCAGAGAATCAGGCCTTCCGTATCTCAGGGCTGCCTCCCTGGAGCGCCAACAACCGGAGCTTCCAGGATTCATTTGCCTTTCAAGCCCTGGCCCTGGTCAGGGAAACTTGAGGAGTACAGTTTCAGTCCCAAAGGAGGGACGGAGGGAGGGAGGGAGGGAGAAAAAGAGTAAGAGAGGGAGATAGAACCATCCACAGCAATCTCGGGAACCAAGGAGACAAGGCTAGATCGTCAGCTCAGCTCTGCATAATGGGAGCTGCCAATGTAGACCCCAACACCAAGGCCCAGCCCTGATCCAAGAACTCTCTTCAATGCCCTCCAGTGCACAGTTCCGGAGTTAGGGGATCCACAATATACCTACTGTATGGGCCTTGGTTTCCCTAGATGTGCCACGGGAATGATACATCCTGACTCACAGGGGCCTGGTGAGGATTGAGATGTCTTAACACAGTAGCTAGCACAAAGGAGGTGAGCTATAGAGTCCTTCTGGAGGTTGACCATATGTCGGGGACAGTGCCAGTGGCTGGACGTTCAGCTGTGTGTAGGATGAACTGGGCCCTAACTTCAAAGACATCTGCATCAGAGAGGGAGCCAGTCACAGTGTGCTGAGAGCTACAACATCTGGAGGAGGTCTTAGAAGATCAATGGTTGGGAGTCAAGAGGAGGAGGTCAAACACAGAGAAACACAGGGGGAAGAGGGAGTGGCCAGCACCGGCAGGAGGTGAAGGAGGGTTCAGCCTGCCTGGCTAAACGGAAGTGAGAGGAGAAGCAGAGAGGGAAAGGCCTGGAGTTGAGGCTGAGAAGCAGGGCTGGCAGAGGGAGCCCCCAAGAGAGTGTGAAGCAGGGAGTGTCAGTGAAGAGAGAGAAAGGCACCATTCCAGCAGTAACAGAGGGCTGGAGGGTTGGAGGCTAGGCCAGGCAGGGCTTCCCACCCCCATCCTAGAGCCTCAGAGCAGAAGGCTTTCTCTTGGGAGATGAGAAAAGTCAGAGAGGGAAGATGAGGATGCCTGCCAGGAGGTAAATGCTTGCTCCAGGCTGGAGAGACAGGAAGCCTTCTAATGTGAGGTGGGCTGGGGGGCCAGGGCAGGGGCTTTGCCGGTCCCCTCCTGAGCCTCTGCTGCTAATGCAGTTGCCCTGTGGCTTCATTACAGCTCATGGGGACCATTACGGGGCCTAGGTCTTACCATTAGCCTGCTTTGGCTGCGAAGTTCAGGGAGATGCCCTCAGTGCCATTCTCCCCTTCATAGGATACTTACTGTGACTCACTGGGCTTCCATTTCCTGGCTGGATCAATATAGGTTTTCAAGCCTTTCAGTCACAAAATCTCAAGTTGTGACTAAGTAAAAATATGAAAGCAAAGGTGCTCAAGTTGGAGTGATGTGGGGTGGGGAACAGCGCTGGGGATGGGGAATCTGCTGGATTTGGTGGTCTACAAAATCTGACTATTAAATTGTCGAGGAAAGCGGCAGGGAACCTAGCCTCCCAGGCTTTTCTGAGAGGGGATACTCACTCCTCAGACCCAGGAAGCTCAGGATGGTGGGTGAGACCCTAAATCCAGACATTTAGTCAGAACAGCAAGTGAGGAGTGTTTAACGCACTGTGCAGAAAAGAGGACAGAGCCAGGCATGGTGGCACATGCCTAGGATACCAACACTCAAGAGGCTTCATCAGGAGGTCTGCTATGAGTTCGAGGCCAGCCTGAGCTACAGAGTGAGTTCAAGGACAGTCTGGCCTACATAGGGAGATCCTTGCTTCAAATAAAGGAAGGAAGGAAGGAAGGAAGGAAGGAAGGAAGGAAGGAAGGGAGGGAGGGAGGAAGAGAGGGAGGAAAGAAGGAAGGAAGAAAGGGAGGGAGGAAACAGAGAGAGAAAGAGAAAGGCTGAGCCTTAGAAAGCACTTGCAGAAAAGGTGGAGAAAGACTTGAATCTGAATACTCAAGCTTCACTAGGTCACCTGACTTGAAAGCTCAGATGTCATGTGCCTCTGGAATGTCGTTTCTTTGGCTTTAAGTAAAGGAATTGGACCACAGCAAGTACAAAGTCCAAGACTGGCCACTGGCCATCCTGTGGGTCTTCTAGAGGTTAGGACCAGTCCTGAGTCCTGGAGAAAGCAGCAGTAACCTCAGAAGGCCCGGTGGCTCAAAAGGGAGATTGGGAAAAGGACATCAGTGGGGATTTCAATAATCAGAAAGACTTCCCTCACACTAGGACCCTAAAGCACAAGTGTGGCTGTGGAGACATCTGAGTCTCTGCCTGCACCAACTCCCACGGCCAGCAGAGGTTTGACAAGGCGCCTTTGTGTCTCCTATGTGAAAGACCCGGGAGGCTGTGGAGAGGCTCAGTCACACAGCTCTGTGCGGCCGCCCTTCTCACTCTGCACAGCGCTGCAGCAGCACCCCTTCTGAGCCCCCGCTGGGGCTGGGAGCCAGACTCTACTCAGCTGATAGGCAGCTAGCAAGGCCTACAGCCCAAGGCAGAGAGCAAGCTCGCTGGCCACAGCAGAAGGCTCCTTCTGAACGTGTGCGTTCATTTGGCCTCCCAAGACTCCCTGGATGGACACTGGAAGACGGAGCGTGAAAAGACTGGTTCTGTTTCACAGAAAATGAGTCCCGAACGGGACTGGAGCTAGAGCAAGGTCTCTCAGTGTTAAAGCTGAGAACTTACACTCAGATTCCTGGGCAGACACTCATTCATCCACCCGTTCACAGGACCGCAACTGAGGGACGGCTGAGGGACGCCTTGCCGTTTTGTGCTCAGATAGTACCGGGACAGAAATGGGGCTCTTCAGAGCAGGGCAGAGAAAAGAACTGAGGCAATTCAAGACGAGAGATCAAACTGAACCGGGTCTTCAGGGACCTGTTGGTGAAGTGAAGGAGAAGCGAAAGCAGATGGAGGTGGTGAAAAAACGGCAAAGACCCTTCCTGGCTGCAGGAGGCCAGAGCAGGTCCATTAGTAATGAGAAGAGCTGGGGCGGTGGCCTAGGGGAGGCTGCAGGTCAGTATAAAGGTCCTGGGCCGCGACAGGAGCCACGCCAACACCAAGCAAACCTTGTAAAACCTGGGCGTCTCTGCAAACCAGTGTGCAGGGCAGGTGGCCTCTGCCCAGCCAGGACGGTCTCCTTCCGTCCCTCCCTGCTCAACTTGCTGACCCGTGGCTGCACAGCCGGGCGCGTCCCCAAGCCGGTGACAGACTAGAGGCATCTGTCTGGGAGGGTTGGGGGCGGCCCCGGCGTCCGCCCGGAGTGCGCCCCGCCCTCCTGCTCGCCACCCGGCTACGGGGTGGGAGCCAGGCGGGGTGGGGCGGGGACCGCGGCGCTTCCAGGCACGTGGGACCCTGCGTGGCTGGGCATGGGACTCGGCCCCGCGGCAGCGGCTCCTGGAGGGGACCAGCGCAGCGGGGAGGTGAGGGGGCCACCTAGAGGGCAACCGACCCGGGGAGAGGTCGCCGGGTGCGGCCCCCGGACTGGCGTGCCGGGCGACTCAGCGCCGGCCAGGGAGAGCCCATTACGTGACTCTGTGACTCTGTCCCGAGGGCCCGGGCTTCCAGACCTTGTACTGCGCAAACAGGACGGTGACAGCAGGCTGCCGGTCGAAGCACTGTTGAACTTTGTTTCCTCTAGAGCGTGGATCTCGGTGAGTGACAGGCACCCTGGAACCTTTACCAGAGTCCCGGGGGAATCTGCCTGTTAGCGGGCTGTGAGCGGCTGGACTTGACCTAGCCTGTGTCCCCCCCCCCCCCCCCCGGGGCAGAGGTCTGTGAGCAGAGACCCGCGAATCCTGGAGACTTCTTGGGCTTGCGTTCCTTCCTCTCTCCCCAGTCTCTCCCGGAGCCCACTCCTGCGTAGGTGAGATAAGTGGCAGCGCGGCTGGGGTGGGGGTGTCGGTGCAGTTTCATGTACGGACAGTTAAGACTTGAATCTGGAAACTTTCAATCTGGCAGGTGGTGCTGCGGGAAGGGTCAGTGTCCCTGAAAGGCAGTGTCCTCTTCAGTCCTGTGTGTGTGTGTGTGTGTGTGTGTGTGTGTGTGTGTGTGTGTGTGT